AGACATGAACAGACAGACAGACAGACAGACAGAGATAGATAGATAAACAGTCTGAAATAGATAATGAATAGATAGATAGATAGATAGATTGTTAGATAGATAGATAGATAGAATTTTGAATAAGAACAGATTGGATTATATACATATCTTATATATATATATATATATATATATATATATATATATATGACTATTATGTTAGATAAATACATGCGAACAGACTAGTAGATAGATTTCAATGAATTGACCGTGATAGATAGATAGATAGATAGATAGACAGACAGACAGACAGATAGATTATGAACAGTCTGAAATAGATAGATAGATAGATAGATAGATAGATAGATAGAATAAGAACAGATTGATTATTACATATATATATATATATATATATATATATATATATATATCCTTTAGAGAGAGAGAGAGAGAGAAGACAGAGACAGAGAGAGACAGAGATAATGAAAAACTTGCAGATAGATGTAAACATTTGCACGTACAAACAAGAGTTTTCTATTGTTTTCCTTTTTTTTTCTTTTTCTTTCTTCTTTTATTCATTTTTCTTAGATCTTTCTTTTTTCTTTTTTATTCTTTAATTCATTTTGTCTTTCTTTTTACATTCTTTTTACTACCTTTCTTTCATTCATTTTACTTTTTTTTTCTTTCTTTATTCATTCATTCATTTTTCTTTCATTTTATTTTCTTTCATTCATAATTTTATTCGCGTTTTTCCTTTCTTTCTTGCATTTTTCTTTATTTTTCCTTCATTTTTTATTCCTTTTTTAAATAAAGAAAGGAAAAACGAAGGAAAAAAGAAAAATGTATGAAAGAATAAAAGAAAAAAGATCATTTGTTTATCCTTCATTTAGTTTTCCTTACTTTCTTTATTATCTTCTTTTCATTCTTTTTACATTTTTCTTTGTTCTTTTTTTCTTTTTTATTCTTTCATTCATTTTTCTTTGTTTATTTTTTTATTTCCGTTTTTATTTCTTTTTTATTTCTTTTTTCATCCTTTCTTTTTTTCTTCCTTTTCTACTTCTTTCTCGATCTTTCTTTATTTCTTCTTTCCTTTTCCTTCTCTTTTTTTCTTCTTTCTTACTTTTAAGTGTTCTTCGCCTTTTTATTCTCTATTTTACTTTTCAATTCTATCTTTTTCATTCATTCTTTCTCATTCTTAAAACTTATTCATTTATTCATTCATTTGTATTGTTCTTTTTTAATCTTCTTCCTTCTGTCTTTTTTCTTTCAGTATTTCAATTTTTCTTTCTTTCTTTCTTTACTTCATCTTTTTCTTTCTTGTATTTTTTCTCTAATTCTTTCTTTATTTCTTTCTGTCTTTCTTCTTCTTCTTCTTCTTCTTCTTCTTCTTCTTCTTCTTCTTCTCCTCTCTGTTGTTTAAATGTCAATTCCCCCATCAAATATATTCGCATCATACACCCTCACTGACATGCCTTCATTCTTTTCCTCTCACTTTCATCCACACGCTTTTTTTACCACATCTGCCCAATCGTTAGTCCTGCGTGACTAACTCGAATCAGTCGTCAATCTGACACAGATATTTTTAAAACTGACTTTTATGAGATAATCAATCATAACATTTAATTTTGTGGTCCTGGCTTCACTTAATTGCTGCAATCATCGACTTCACAGCCGCCATTTTCAGCAGAGCGGTGTTCCCGCCTTACGAACCGCCATAGCTGTCGAATGCCATCCAGATGTAAACATGGTCGACGTTTAATAACTAATTTCGACGATTTAATTTCGCTTTCCCCTCTTCATCATTTTATTAATTTATTTATCGTTGTTCATCGTTTTATTTTAGGTTTTATTGTCGTTTCTACATATCTTCGATTTCATCTCATTTAAACGGTTTTAACATTGTTTTTAAAATATCTAAAAAATACTCTTTCTTTCTATAAAAACGTTCAGACAGCTTTATGGATTATAAAATAACTGGGTTCTTTAAAAAATAATTCGTCTTTTAAAAAAAATTTTAATTCAAATCTTTTTTTAATTATTTTACCCCAATTAAGGGCATAAAACTCCTAAGATGCAAGTGATTAATGCGAGTGAAATGAATAAGAGAATAAATATAGGACTGGATTCAAAGCGACAGAAAAACTTTCGTTGGTCTCTCTCTGAACTGCGCCCTACATATAATAATGAAGGCGGGTGCATTCTGGGGAGATATCTGGCAAGATATAATCGCTGATGTGGTCGTAGAAGTTTTCTGAGAGCCATGACTGGGTTCTCTTACTTATGTGGAATGGTGCAAATTCCTGTTGCCAGATATATGGTCTTCCAGCAGTCACCCTTTTGAGCCATGGCAGAACTACCACCTGAAGGCAATTGATATGGGTCTCTGTGTTGAGTCTGACACCACGTGGGAAGATAAATGGAGGCATAATGTAGTCATCACTAGTAATCACTACAAGCACCATCATGTTGACTATAAATACAATATTTGCTCTGTCTCCCCATTGAGACGAGATGTGACACAAGGTCTTTTTTAAGGTGGGGAACCAGAGCACGAACACCCGGGCCAGGAACAAAAATTACTCACAGCCCATGTAACCGTCGTTTTCGCTGGCATCGGTGCGAGCACCGATCTCTCTCTCTGGTGTAATGAGAGGGTTAGGCCTGGGGCAGCTGTTTCCCATGTCTGGGCACATCTCAGTATAATTTTCTCAGTTGCCTCTCTGTCCTTTGACAGAGAAGCCCCTGAGCGCACTCTGCAAAAGACAGAGACGCAACTGAGAGATGATAAGTAATGCGTCAGAAACTCCACCAAGGAGGAATTTACACACTGACTATAAATACTAAGCAACTCTGAATCCTCTGCACTGATTTTAGATTGACACCAGAAGATTCTGAAATGTTCGTATTGAAGATTCCAGCGCAAAAGTTAAGCAATACAGCATGCCGTTTCCAAAATTCTGGCGAAGTAAATTGCGTCATGTTGCACTTTTTCTCACAGGTGGTGCCGAACTGACACTATTATATTTGCCATTGACAAAATCAAAAACAAATAACGCGCATGCGCGAAATTAAAAATATAAATTGCGACAATTTACCCATCGCACCTTGTATTTTGAATTATTCTCGGAATATTTCAGGTGCAAATACCCCCAACGTCGACGGCTACCTGGCGCATTTAATGCTTTGACAGACAATCTTTTTTGAGGTATCGGCATTATGTAATTATATTTAATTATATAATTTAATTATGCTTTTAATTTTCGATTGTAATTATATAATTTAAGGAACGAGTCTTTGGTATTAAGAACTTGGGTCATGCTACGTCAGATCTAAACGTTAATATAAATGTTAAAAATGGCGTCTAACTCATCAAGAAATATTCATATTATCAGCTATATAAAATCGTTTTCTTAGAACAATGATAAAAATAAAAACGGCTTCAAGCGAATGTACCCTTTGGGTTTTAAAAATATCCTTCATCAAACCCAATAGACTTGTGCTACAAAATCACAAAGAATTTTGCCAACAGACAGAAAACTGATCAGATGAAGACTTTCATTGGCAGCAACAACTAATCTTAAAAGCATCTCGAACCATGTGGACTGGCGCTACATAATCACAAGGAACTGAACCGTCAGTTGAGGTTTTTCAACAACAGAAACCTTTAGAATTGATATCACATGTAACTCAAAGAGAAAATAATGACATCATCAAGATATTGACTTAATAACAACCGTCCCAGATCGTGAAGTCCTACTAAAATTGGAAGGCACAAAATCTGTATAAAGTCTGTATCTAGCAGCAGCCTTGCAAAGGCTGCTGCTATTAACAGTCATATAGTTACACTTGTATACACTAATATGTTCTTAACTTTAACGCTTTACCACTGTTGCTCCACAATGTCAGTTCTACGGCCAGTTTCACCTGTTATTTTTCTAGAGCTCCTTGAAAGAATCAGTAATATTATTGCTCCTGATCTGGCATCTCGGCTTCAGTCACTTTCCCCCCTGCCGTAAGTTTGCTTGCCTGCGCCTTTTCTTTCAATATTTTCATGGTAATTTTTCAGATGATCTCTACATTATGGTACCTAGACTTTATGAATTAAAGCGTAGCTACGTGCTAATACTCTTGGAAAAGGTAAGAATCCTCTTCTTCTCCCCCATCTATGGATAAATAGCAGGCCAGACCGGATTCTATAGCCTTGGATGGTAATTTGTCTACCGTAGAAAGAAATGGCTACCTACTGCGTGAAAAAATCTGCCGTGTCAGTCAAGTATCGAAAGATACATGATCGTCTAAGCGTGTATCACGCATGGCACATGACTGACTAGATTAACAACGAGTCCTGATCAATTTACAGTTGAGATGGTTAGATGTAGCCGTAAGTTCTATGATAAATACTTTCTTTTCTCGCAATTCTCGATTGTGGAACTTACTTCCGGCTTCATGCTTTCTAGTCAACGTTAATCTTCAAAAAAGCAAATGCAATATCAATCGCTAGCTACTGTCTTCCTGATTACTATTCTCTTGTACTCTGTTCGTAATAATGTTTCTGTTTTCTAATTCTTCCACACCCAGTAACCCCTTGTGTCTTAGTGGCTTTGTGGCCTTGCTTGGGATGAATTCAATTAAAAAAAATAAATAAAATTGTGACGAAAAAGCAGTTATATCCTATTACTGGAGAGTTCATTTCGTCGATTAGAAATTAAAGAAAGTGAATTCTTCAGAGCATTGATGTAGCCATAGCATGAAAGTGAATACAGGTTTAATATCTTTAATAATGAAGTGATGAATTTTATTTTCAGAATTTTGTTACCTTCGTTCGCAGGGTGCCAAGAAAACATATGTATGACGAAAGACGTTTGTTAATTTAAAATTTACTGCCGTCTTTTATGACAATGGCGGTGTTAGTACGAAGTACGAAGAAATTGTAAAGGAAAAATATTAATGGCGGGGAGAAATAGGTTTTATAATGAAAAGAAAATATATCAGTTCAATTTACATGGAAGTACAATCAAAGATTAGGATGTGTCAGGTATTTTTATAATGTGAACTGGAAGGTAATTGAAAATGGAGTGTTCGTAAAGATAGGGAATTATAATGATAGAGATATTAGTGCAGAATAATGAAGAAGAGAGAGAGAGGAGGAAAAAGAGACAATAACAAAATGAGCAAGAAAAGATGAAGCAGAATAAAAAGAATTGAAAGGAAAAGAAAGAAAAAGAGAGAGAGAGAAAGTGACGAGAATAAGGCCATGTATTTAAAAGAAAGAAAGAAAGAAAGAAAGAAAGAAAGAAAGAAAGAAAGAAAGAAAGAAAAGGAGACAAGAATAAGGACGGATGTTTAAAAGAAAGAAAGAAAGAAATAAAGAAAGAAAGAAAGAAAGAAAGAAAGAAAAGAAAGAAAGAAGAAAGAAAAGGAACAAGAAAAGGACGGATGGACGGAAAGAAATAAAGAAAGAAAGAAAGAAAGAAAGAAAGAAAGAAAGAAAGAAAGAAAAAATAAAGAAAAGTATTAAAAGAAAGAAAAAACGAAGAGGCAGGACAATGATTAAAATTTAAGAGAAATGGATTAATGTATAAATAAATTAACTGATGAGAACAAGATTGGAAAATAAATGAAAGAGAGAAAGAATAAAGGCACTAAAACTGATTAAATAAAGAAGGAATTTTTAAGAAACAGTGAAAGAAAGATTCTAGGACAGATAACATTTAACGAAACAAAAGAAAGAAAGAAAGAAAGAAAGAAAAAGAAAAAAAGAAAGAAAGAAAGAAAGAAGGAAAGAAAGAAAGAAAGAAAGAAGCAAGGCGAAGGACTATAATTTAACAGAAATGAATGAATAAATAACGAAAGAAATAATAAAAAATAAAGAAAGAAATAATAAAAGACATAACAAAATAACCTTAAAAGAAAACGGACGAAAATTAAAAGAAAGACAGAATGATTTGAAGATTATGAGAGTTAAGATTATAAAAGGGAGGAAAACTTCAAAGCAAGCCAGAAAGAAAAGAAAGTGAGAAAAAAGAAAGAAAATAAAGATTTTAAAAAAGAGATAAAAAAAGAAACATAGCCATATGCAAATGAAAAAGAGAGCATTACCTATAAATATAATGAGATGCAGAACGAGAAAAAGAAAATGACAAGTTCAAAATGAAAGAGAAAAAAGAAAGGGATTTTAATTAGAAGGAAAAAAGAAGAAAATGAAAGAAAAATGATAAATTAGATAACTCCAAAAAAGAAGAACGTGACCATAAGAGAAAGAAAAATCTCAAAAGACAGAAAATTGTTATTAAAACGTAAAAGAGCATCTGCAGGTTGACAAAATCCTTTTCGTAAATGCTATTAATGTTTATAAAAGATGACAAAAAAAAATAAAAGTACTCGGCGGTGGTTGAAGTTCTTCATGCTTAAATTTTCCCATTACAGTTTTTGGGCGTTCGTTTGATAGGATTTTAATATTGGGAAAATAAACTTGTGTTGAGTAAACAATTTAAAAACACTTTCAATAATTGGATTAAAGCATTTTCCAAGAAGCCACTAGCTTGTCAATAGTAAATTAAGAATACATCTTAGCAATGAGATGCAAATTATATATACATACATACATACATATATATATATATATATATATATATATATATATATATATATATATATATATATATATATATATATATATATATATATATATATATATATATATATATTATTTGGTTTGAGCCTTTTGGAACAATAGACATTCTTTTGCAAGTGGTGAGAAGAAAAGGTCCGATCTTGTTTACGCAAGTTTAAATATATCTGCATATACATACATAGATATATTTTTTTAAATTTTAATCCGACTTTTCTTCTTCTTCTTCTTCTTCTTCTTCTTCTTATTATTATTATTATTATTATTATTATTATTATTATTATTATTATTATTAATATTATTGTTGCTGTTGTTGTTGTTATTATTTATAATACTAATAATAATAAGACATAATAATGTTTGTAGAAACACACAGAAACATGCACACACACGGGCGCACACACAAACACACACACACACATATGGGATATATATATATATATATATAAATATATATATATATATATATATATATATATATATATATATATATGAAGAAGAGAGAGATAGAGAGATACATAGACAGACAGACAGATAGATAGATAGATAGATAGATAGATAGATGGATAGATAGATAGATAGATAGATAGATAGATAGATAGATAGATGGCATGATATAAACAGACTGAGATAGATAGAGATAGATAGATAGATAGATAGATAGATAGATAGATGATAGATAGATAGATGAATAGATATGAATAGAATAGATATGAATAGGATGAGATAGGTATGGATAGACTGATATATATATATATATATATATATATATATATATATATATATAGATAGATAGATAGATAGATAGATAGATATGGATATGCATAGAATGAGATAGATATGAATAGACTGATATGTATATATATATATATATATATATATATATATATATATATATATAGATAGATAGATAGATAGATAGATAGATAGATAGATACTTCATTGTGTATGATTGCCACTATTAATGCAGGAATATCAAGGCCTGGACGTGTTTTGTTTTTTCTGCTGACACTTAATTTATTGTGAGAAAATTCAATGGAAGTACCTTGCTCTTCTCACCTTCTTTTTTCCGATTTGCTTTTAAGTTTTCGCCATTTTCTTACCTTCTGTCATTCCACAGTCTCAAACATCCTGACGACTTCTCACTTTGTTTTCACTTTAAACTCGAGTCTTTGTGTTGGAATCTTGCAGCCTCGTTCCAGAAATCATCTCAGTTTGACAAAAGTTTTCTTCTTTTTTTTTTCTTTTCGCGAAGTAATAGAAATAAATGTATTAGTCATGAAATTCGCAGATTAAAATATCGAACAGAAAAGATATGAAGGCATTTCCGCTTTAATGGAGAGACAACATTCCAATCTCTTTTTCCAAATTTTATTTTGATCAATTTACAATGTTTTATACATTTGCTGGATACGTTTAAATGGAAGCCACTACGAGAAAACGGAAATTAGAACATAAATTTTCAGATAATATTATATATATATATATATATATATATATATATATATATATATATATATATATATATATATATATATATATATATATGAATTATTTCGTTTTGCTTATTAGAAAGATTAAAAGTACATTAAGTGTAGACGCTTTCTTACACTTGTTTGGATTCACTCAACAAAACTGAGTAAATACGAAAACAGAACACATGTTTGCCTTACAGAAGTTTTGCTTTATTCCACTTGAATATGATAGTCAAATCTTAGTTCAAAATTCTTAACTCGGTATCTATATTAATATCATAGCCATTTATTCTTGTTTTAATTTTAAGTCAAATCGATAGCTGATCACAATAATCACCTACATTCGAAAAATGTCAATATTTTATCCAATATATATATATATATATAATGAAATAGACAAAGTCAGACAAATATTTAAAGACATTTTTTATGTTTATACGTTCTATCTTATAGATGCAAATATTTAAGTAAATGCTCTGTTTATAACAAACAATATTAATGGCATTTACCGACCTGAATGTCCGAGAAATTTTCATATGTGTCCTCAGACTGTGGCTAAATCTGTGAAGTAGGTCAGACGATATGACAGTTACTTATAGGATGCAGGTTCGATTCCTGTCGGAGCACGTATCTTTTCTATGAAAATTTCTCGGACATTCAGGCCGGTAAATGTTATTTAATACTGTTTATTATAAACAGAGCATTTACTTAAATATTTGTATCTATAAAAAGAACGTATAAATATAAAAATGTCTAAATATAAAAAATATATATATATATATATATATATATATATATAAGTGAACATTGAAGTCAACACTTAGAGGCTACAGGCTGTTTCATGCTAGACGAAATCGTCAGATCACCAGTGCGTCTAGCATGAAACAGCCTGGCTCTAAGTTTCGACTTCAGTGTTCACTTTTATATTTACACGCTCTATCTCTGATATTGAGTATTTTATCTTATAAATATAACACACCTTAAGAGTATATATATATATTTATATATATATATATATATATATATATATATATATATATGTCAGTATTTGATCGAATAAAGAAAAAAATGTGAATAGTTTATTCAGTCTATATATAAAATTCTGTGTTTTCCGTTAGTAAGCCAACCCGCCAGTCCGTCCGCCTACCCTCTAAAATAGCCATACATTCTTTCTTTTTATGTGCCATGTCCTTTTAGGACGTAGGCGATCTTGTCTCCCTCTATTCCTTCCCTCTGCTTTCTTCTCCATACCACGTTCTGTCATCCACTTGCTTAAGTCCGGCAGTATGTCACGCGTTGTTTTCCCTTGTCTCTCGTTCCCTCTATTCGACCAGTCAGTATCAGATTCTCCGGGCCCTCCTTCCTCATTATGTGTCCCAGACAGTTCAGTTGCCTCTTCCTGATATTAAGTATAAACCCCTCCTTGTTTACAACCTATCCAAGATCTAATAGTTGCTCACACGCTTGATCAATTATATCCTTAGCATTATTCTGTAGAACTACATCTCTATCGTTTCGAGTCTCTTCTTCATTTTTGAGGAAATCGTCCAACATTTGCTGCCGTAAAGAAAGACAGATGTCACGTATCAATTCCGTATTCTTTTCTACCAAAGATAGCCTGCTGTCTCGCAGTACTCAGTACTTGGCCACACCAATACGTCTACAGATCTCAGTGTCGCAATTACCGTCCTCTGTCAAAACGCTTCCCAGATGTATAAACTTCCTTGTCTGCTTGATTCTAGTGTTCCCGACCTTAAGATCGCATTTTGGGCTCATCCTCTTACTGAAGACCATACACTCCGTCTTGTAGTTTATGCTTAGTCCCTTCTTCGCACTCTCCGTCGTTACATTCTGTAGGAAATTTTGTAATTTCATTTCCGTGTCTGCTATCAGTACTCAGTCATCTGCGTATCTTATGTTGTTAACACTGTGGCCGCCATTGATAAATCCCGGTAGGGTTTCCAACTCTTTCCGGACTGCCTCGCTGTGTAGGTGAAACATGTCAGGTAAGAAGACGCATCCTTGCCTTACGCCCTTTTCTTTTTTTTGTGTATTCACTGAACTCAACCCTATGCGCAGGCATGCTGTTTGCTGACAGGATAGGTTCTTGATTATTCTGATATCTTTCCCAAATACATCGAGTTTGTGAGCAGTTCCAGTAGATCCTTGTGGCGTACTTTGTCGAAGGCCTTTGCGTAGTATATGAAACATAGGTCCTTCTGCACCTGTATCGCTCTTTCTGATAAGATTCTGAACCAAATATTGGCCGATCTAAAACCACTTTTGGGGAGAAGGGGGTACAAAATACAGTAATAAATTCTTAAAATATAACTTAACGAAAGATGCTTAAACTGACTTAAAGAAGTTGTTTCTGAGCGAAAACAATTTTGACTACATTTAAGTGTAATCGTGACTTTTCAAGCACATTTTTTAAGAATTCAGTTTCCAGTTCGCTATGCGTTTACGAGAAGTATAAACTATAAACAAATCACAAAGCGAAACGCTTCAAGAATATTGGAATTTGGTGCCAGAAAAAAAATATTTACGCATTGACAGTTGTATGTTGCATGCTCGAGAGTAAGAAATCTTAAAAATTTCTTCTTTGCCGTTAAAAAAAATGAAATTTTCTTAAAAAATATTCTTTACCATTAAGTACTATAAAATTAAGTTAAATTATAGAAATTATTATCCATGAAGTATTTTTGCAAACAAATCAGCATATTCAAATTTCACCGATTTGTTTGCGAAATTGAAGGAAATATAGTCTCGACAAAAATGCTAATACGCTTGGGAAAGGTATGAATCCTCTTCTCCCGCCAGATACGGGTAAATAGCAGAGCAGACCGGGTTCTATAGCCTTGGATGGCATCTGGTTTGCTGCAGAAAAATGAAAATCTGCAGCGGGGAAAAAAAACCTGCCTCGTCAGTCATATATCGAAAGATACTGTAATTCCCGAAGCATGTATCACGTATGGCACATAACTGTCTGATTGACTTTCCCGTTAAATCCATCACATTCACTTACGTGCTAATACCCTTGAGAAAGGTATGAATCCTCTTCTTCACCCAGTTATGGGTAAATAGCAGGACAGATCGGGTTCTATAGCAAAGGATGGCAACTGGTCTACTGCAGAAAGAAATAGCAAGCTACTGCGGGAAAAATCTGCTTCGTCAGTCATGTATCAACATATAAATCTTCGCCTAAGCGTGTATCACGCATGACACATAACTGACTGTCTTTCCAGTCGAATCCATTACATTCACTAGGGAAATGTATGACTCCTCTTCTTCTCCCCCCACGTATGGGTAATTAGCAGGACAGACCGGGTTCTATAGCCTTGGGTGGCAACTGATCTTCTGCAGAATGAAATGAACAGTAACTTCCGGAAAAATTCTGCCTCGTCAGTCATGTATCAAAAGATACATAATCGCCTAAGCGTGTATCACGCATGACACATAACTGACTGATAGAAATATATGACTGACGTTAGCTACGACACTAGATCAAACATATGTTTGATCTAGTGTCGTAGCAAACGTCAGTATTTGATCCTATCTCGGAAAATATGAATATTTCATTAAGTATAAATATTTGACCCAATACAGTAATAAATGTCAATATTTGATTTATTGTGGAATAAAGAATTTGATCTAGTATTTTAATCACATTTAACCAGTATAGAAATGTATGAAGTTAATGTTGTATCCATTATACAGAAATGAGAATATCTGAGAGAGTTTCGAAATAAATATCAGTATTATTTAGGAATAAAAATATTACAGCATTTGATCCATTGTGGAACTATATTTGATCCAAGATAAAAATAAATTTCATTAATTGATCAGATATAAAAAAAATGCTTGAGAATCTGATCCCGTGTAGAAATATTGAATATTTGACCCAATGTCGATAAAATTTGATTGAGTAAAGGAAAATACGAGATTTAGCCAGTTCTAGATGCATGCGTACGCATCCATACACAGACATAGGCAACGACTGTCCTGTAGTAATTTCTTTCTTCTTGAATAATAAAGAGTGTTTCATTAAGACGGATTATATATAAAGGTGTTTCATTAAGACGGATCGAAGTCAGCAGTAAATAAATCAGTGTTATTAGTGCTTATAAATTTGACCTTGTCTACCGAAAGGTTCTTTGTGGCCGAGACGGTTAAGGCACGTCAGCGTAAATGACGGTTCCGTATAGGATGCAGGTTCGAATCCTGTCAAAGAACGAATATTTTCTATGAAAATTTCTCGGACATTCAGGCCGGTAAATGTTATTTAATACTGTTTATCATAAACAGAGCATTTGCTTAAATAATTGTATCTATAAATAACAACGTTAAACAT